GTCCATACTGCCAATACCTCTGCGTAAACTACGAATAGCTAGCTTTTTCACCATATTTGCGTCTAGTGTAGATATCAGTTTCTAAAATAAATACAGTAGAACAAGATTGTTATCAATGCAAAACCCGGACAAGACATTGTATACTGTATAGGTTATGTTATTATATGTGTAATAATAATATGAAATCATCAATTGTTATTTTTATATAATTAAATATTATTTTAAGGTGAAGTACATACCTTCACATTTTCGTGTTCTTTTTCCCTTTGCATGTCCTCCGACTCTGTAGTTGCGTGAGTAAGGCGAAAACCTTGTCTTGGATTTCCTGCTGTTTTGCGTTTTTGTCTTTCATCGGCCGTTCCCTATACCAAAATCAGACAAATTATTTATTATAATTCCTGGAATATAAACAAAGTTGTGAACATATAAAAGTTTAGATTGCTTTACCTTATTTTGGCAAGGTTTTGCACGCGTGCCACAATGACATTCTGCCGAACACACTACATTTCTACCTTTACACGGACAACCTCGGGTTCCATTAGGCTTTCTTTTAGTGCTGCAAGAACTCTTACAATCACAACGATTTCCCTATGTAAACGGATATATCACTGTTCAATTAGATTCGTATTGCTTTACAAAATAATATGTAAAATATGCATATTTTGACTTACCTCAGAATTCATTATACAGCTTCGAAACAATGGCGGATTATGTCGTCCGAGCAATTTCCGACAGTTTCCGAACCCGTTATTGTTATGCGCAGCAGGGGTGCGCACAATGTGACACTGCTCCTTTAAAGGACGACAAAATATATTGGCAAAATAAATTATGTAAAAAATATGAAAAAAACTATTAAAGTCAAAGAATTACAAAAATTTAAAACTTTGAACGATCATAAGCAAGGGCATCACTTTATATTTTACAAATATTAATAGAGTGAACATGTCATTGTCATCCCGTCATCTCAAGTCATGCCGCGATGGCAGCTCTTCTCCAGCGCAAAAAATCTTTTAAAGTTCGTAGCGTAACAAACTATAAAGTTAAAGGACAATGGCAACAAAAATTTTTATTGTCTATATTAAAAGTGTTGCTTCATTTAACTATAAATATGATATTAATACCGTGTCAAACATTTTTGGTCAGGAGTTATATGCATGTTATTTCACTGTTAATTTATATATCGTCGGCCATCTTGGCTCGTATTTGCGAAAAATTATCTTTTGGGTAATATGACCCGTATGACGTAATGGCAGGGTAGAATCAAAACAACAATATAATTTTGTATAGCGTGTATCGAGATTTTAATACGTTTTCTCAAAAAATTAATGCTTTTGAGTCATTTTAATGGAAAATATTCACGAGAACCAGGTAGGAGAAGTGTTATCATACCAATATGAACCAGAAGTAACAGAAAAACAAGCAATATTTTAATTTTGGGATAGATTTAAATATAGGACCTCTACATGCGTCTTGGACCTTTGGTTTGTGGTTTACTTATAATCATTTATTTAATGGATTTCTTTTATTTTCAACGGTGTACTGAATGTAGACCATGCCGTTATATATAAGTATTGTATATTAGGTGCACGCGTATAATGCGTGCCGCGTGCGCTGTTTTGTGTCTTTTTATGTCAATCCATTGTAGAAATAGTATACCGCAATTGAAGCTAGTATGTACTGTAAGTAAAGTTATTACTTGGCAACGCTTCCCTTTTCAATTGTATTCTAAACGTTTCATTGCACTGTATTCGTTTTAAAAACTTTGGCGACTGCCCTTGTTCATACGCGTCTTCGGCAAAATGAAGTGAGCATATATTCTAGTCACATCGTCGCGACGATGGTTTAATGCTTTGCGCTGATACATAATTCAATCCACGCTTTTCTCCTATATTGCTGATCTACATCATCTACCGATTTGCCCTTTGGAAAATTGAAGAAACAGATTTCACTTGTGTGTTAGCTGTCACTATTACAACCGTAGACGGCAATACATGTTTTGCAGTGCACCTTACGTTTTACATGAACAATCTAGATCTTTTCGTTATTCAAGCCGTACTCAGAGCTGACTATATATATATATAATATTTGCAATTTCGGTGATATATATTCCCACACGTGAATTTAGGGTATTTTACATAACAATGAAAATATTGATAATATTGGGAACTATACACTACAGTACATATGTATTTACCTAGTATATAAAATGACAACCAAGTAAAACTACATGTAAAAATACATCACAACATATAACCAGATTATAGTTATTTTACACTTATCTCTTGTCTGGGAAAATCCCATACTGACCTTGAATGTCAATTTACTAATTTGCGCAATGTCTAACTTGCGCGACACTACACATTACAGAAGAGGCAAATCTTGTTTGTGAGATAACAGCTATTTCACTAGCATAGCAATGTCGTTTGAAAGCCTGCTTAGTTTTAAAAACAATTAATAGTTGTGAAATCTGAAGCTAGAATTATCCACTGCAACATTGTTGCAGTTCCGCCAGTTAATTGGTTGAATTATTTTTGTATTAATAATAATAACAACACTTTGAAACACTAAATACTCAGTAGAATCTTTTATTTCAATGCAAATTATTGCTATATTTCTGCAACAGAGCATGCACATACATAAATGTATATGCTATACATATATACATACATTTGGAATATATGATATATGTAATTGGAACAGCAGAACTACCATAACCGGAGTCAATGTCTAAGCGCATTTTACAACGCAAATATACGCTTACTGTCGAAAAGACAGTCACAGATCATTGGTAGTAAGCTGCTACACATTATTGAACTATGAATACACGTTGCAACGTATCTGTATTTTTTGTGTAAACATTTTCTTCCAATTCTCAACGTTGTTACAGTGTAACTTATACTGTGGGATTTGCGTTTACCCTGCCATCTACGTCACGAAATGTATTCATGCATAAATTAGCATACGCGGAATTTTCCCAAGATGGCGGACGACTGTTAAAATTTGTTAAACATTTTCGCAAATTATCTGAACAACTAAATGCAATAGACAAACAAAAATATGAAATTAAGTATTCCATTAGTAAGCTTAATAAATACAGACAATAAAAAAATTTGTTGCCATTGTCCTTTAATCTCAAATAACGATCAGAACAAAGTAAAGCATTTTAACATGTTCGTATTGTTTCTGTATTTTGTTTACATCAAGTTCTCTGAAATTTATGAACAGGTTTTTTTTCTAGCCAATCACATTACTTCATGTGACTGCTAATTATAACTAACCAATCATGTGCTTGGTACAAATCTTGTACTAAAGGAAGTGAAATTTGTATCGCGTGCCACCAGAGGTTCTCTTCGCCTCGCGTAAAATAAATACGAGCAGAAATAAAGCGAAAGATACGAGAACCACTGGCAACCAAGGTAGGTAAAACGCGGACTGGACTGAGCTGGTAAAACATGGACTGGACTGCACTAGTAAAACGCGGACTGGGCTCTATTAATAAAACGCGGACTGGACTTTATTAGTAAAACGCGGACTGGATTCTATATTAGTAAAACGCGGACTGGATTCTATATAGTAAAACGCGTATGAGCGACCTTTAAAATCCTAACAAGTCCGAAAAGAAAGGATCCAGAGTTGTCGAAGTTTGAGTGGAAACTTTTCGAAAAAGAATAGAGGTTAGTTTCCGGTACATTTGAGTCCGTATAACTAGGAAAATATAAAGGAAAAAGTGGTTACCAAAAAGAATAATGTCGAGTCTATTGACTCGAAATCCAGTTTCGTGAAAGAAACCATACTGTTGAACAGTACAGAAGGCCACAGGAACATAATCTTGTTCTAAGGATTATGTGAAGAACCATACTAAATAATGATGGGGGTATTCTTGCTTCGATTTTCGCCCGTTTGGAGTTGCAAAAAGCCTTTGCACTCCAGAAGATTTTGTCCATTTCATAGACAACGAGTTTGACTTACCCTCCTTCGCAGACTTGCTGCCAACATGTGCCAAAGATGTCGTCCCAGGTTTGAAACATTTGCACGGCAAGAATATCGCTCCCCGAGATCTGAATCCAGGAATCATATTAGTTTTAAATGAACACTAAAGCAGCACATCCTTTAATGAAGATGAGTTTGCCGAAGCTTATGTTGAATGCCCTGTTGTTTGTGAACTGGCCGACTTTGGCTTAAGTCGGTCTCTCGACTTACAAACCAAGTAATTTTTAATGTCAAAGACGGAATAGTGAGTCGTGATACTCCCGTATACGTGGCACCTGAAATTCATTTGCATCCACTTTTTCAAGCAAGCCAGGAAGATTTAATAAAGCCCATAATGTGGTCGTTGGGTTTGGTGATGCTTGCATTGTTGAATCCAAACCTTCGCAGTCCCCATCGGGCAGAACTGGAAAAAGCAGGTATGTATATTAGGCTGTGACCTCGAAAAGTGCCTAGAAAACGATTTTCATTAAGCATGTCTTGAAACTGAAATATTTTTATGGGAACTAACACTTTCGAACACGCTGAGTTCAAATCCGAAAACTTCCCGCACCGTAGACCCGCAGTTTTCTCACAAACTGCTATTTTATCTTCGCTAATTTCACAACAAATTTTTTCATTGTTCAACGACACGGATGGATGAAGATACACGATTGCATAACTCAAAATGACTAATTCCTATGAACCAGTCTCTACATTGAACAAAAGATCGGTTTTGCTCGAATTATTTTGAGTTATGTAATTTTAAGCGTGTTGGACGTAAAAAACATATCTTGTCTACAACTTTGGGAAGGTACCGATATCGCTTTGTAAAATCCTCAGTTCTGGTTGTATCTCTATAAAATCACAAGGACGTCAATGTTAAGTCGTTGGGCTATATCTCTGGGATGAGATCAAAATGTTTTATACAACGATGTAAAACGGTAATCTTATGAAATGGGTCAGCATTTCCATTTCCAGCACAGTTTCTGAGATGTACTTCAAGAGGTAACTTATCATTGCATTTGAACTATTATATCAGTTGGTGTTATTCTGTGCGATAAGCGAATATTACTGGAAAGAGGGCTGCCTGCATATACGTTGAAATCACCAACTAAACAGCTAAATGCACACATTTCTCCACTTCGTCGTAAGTTTACAGAGCAGATTTTATACCTTGGCACTGGTCTTTGTCTTTGATATGAACATTTATTCCCCTAGTTTAAGGTTATTTAAGATTCATCCTGTCGTAAGTCTTCTACTAGCAACCAATCGACAATATTTCACTTTAGCATTGTCTTTGCCGTCACGTTGGCTTCGCATTACCTTTGTTTTAAATACCTTGATCGCGTTAAATTAGTTATTTTTCAGGCCAGTGATATAGCCAAAAGACTTAGTGTTAACGTCCTTGTGATTTTAGAGAGATATCGCTAGAACTGAGGATTTTAGAAGGCGTTATCTGTACCTTCTCAAAGTTGTAGACAAGATATGTTGTATATGTGCAAAACGCATAAGATTACATAACTCAAAATACTTCGGACAAAACCGGTCTTTTGTTAAAAGGAAGACTGGTTAATAATAGAAATTAGTCGTTTTGAGTGATAATCGTGTGGCGTCATCGATCCGTGTCGTTGGACAATGAAAAATTTGTTATGAAATTAGCGAAGATAAAATAGCATTTTGTGAGAAAACTGCGGGTTTACGGCGCGAGAAGTTTTCGGATTCGAACTCAGCGTGCTTGAAAGTGTTAGTTCCCGTAAAAATATCCCAGTTCCAAGACATGCTTAATGAAAGTGAACGATATCACGACGCAGCAAACGGCCTATATTAGATAACCGTTATTGTTTTTTATAATGGGTTTAAATACGACCAATGAAATCACCGTTCTGGCTACCCGAAATTTTCAAACCTTGCATTTCTTGTCACAACGTCTGTCATACATCATATACTTGAAAAAGCATGCACTGCGGAATGAAAATTAAGTAGTGCAAAGAAATTATCTTAATTTATAATATTTATTAAATGCTGATCAAAATTAAGATTTATGAACAGAACTCATGAGCGACAATCTTGCTGTGCAAATAGTTCAAGCCTGCGACAACATCTCTGGCACATGTTGGCAGAAGTCTGCGAAGGAGGCAAAGTCAAACTCGTCGTCTACGAAATGAGCAAAATCAAATGAGCAACTTCAAACGGGCGAAACTCGAAGCAAGAATACTCTGAGTATGGTTCTTGTAGCATTATATGGTACTTTGAGTATGGTTCTTGTAGCATTATATGGTGAGTGTGGTGCAAAATCCATAGAAGCGGATTATATTCCTGTGCCCTTTCGTACTGTTGAACAGTGCGGCTTCTTTCACGAAACGGGATTTCGAGTAAATGACTCGAAATTATTCTGGTTTTCCTTTGTTTTTCCTAGTTATACGGACACAAAAGTACCGCAACCCAACTTCTTTTCTTTTCCAGAAAGTTTCCACTCAAACTTTGGCAACTCAAATCCTTTTTTGCCTTTCCTTTCATACTTGTTGGGATTTTCAAGCTCGCTGCCATTTTGTCCCTTTTTGGTTGAATTTTGGCGCGAAAATTCGGTTCTGGTCGGCGTTTTACTAATAATAGAGCCCAGTCCGCGTTTTTCTAATAGAATCCAGTCCGCGTTTTATTAATCTGAGTCCAGTCCGTGCTTTATTCATCTGAGTGCAGTCCGCGTTTTACCATATGCCAAATGTTTGAAATATATAGCCGATAGATTGCTGCATGCATGCATTTCTAATACAGTATGATTATGATTATTCCCGAGCCAGCGGCGCGAAGCGGGCGAAGATAATTCTGTTCGACTATTCACACCTGGAAAAAGGAAAGCATTAGCGAAATCTAATTATGTTCATCAATCATCGTGGCTGAGTGCCTATGTTTCATGGTAGACCTCCTACTAACCTCAAGAGTATGGTGAATTTCAGAAGTGAAACGAACATGACTTGAGGGGGAGGGGGTGGGGGATGGAAAAACAGTGGCAAGGATTGCCACTGTTAGGTTATTGCCAAGGATTGTCTGGTAACTGGTCCAGATATGCTACTAAACCTGCATCGAAAAACTGTCAGACACGTTATTTTAAGGCCAGCTAAAATTTTAACTTCCGAAGCTAGAAGTGCTAGTATTTTAGAGTAGCTACTACCAATGGCGTTTACAAATATAACAGATGCCGTATTTTTTGTAAGCGTAGACATGCTTAATTTTGGTATATTATGTATATTAGCAGTGTATTTTATTCATAATGAGTTTATGAACATCTTTCTGAAGTGCTCGACCATTGGGGACTTCGTTATTTGGAAATCGTTATTTGGAAACTAGTAGAGCAATCTGGAAGTTATGGTTGGTAAACGCGTTCGGAAGTTATGGTTGGTAAACGCTTTCGCTTTTTTGCAATTGTCTCCAAAGAGTTTTGTCACTAATTGTAGGTTAAAGACCATATAAATTTCCGTTTGAATATGCAAGTCATTAAAAATTTGCATAGCATAGCCTGTTGCTCTGCCATTGGAAAAAAAAGAACGTAACCCAAAAAATTGTTAATGAGACGAAAAGCCAAACATTTTATTTGTTATTGCTTTACAACAAAAGATCAGGGATATAGAATGCAGAAAATATGAAACCCTAAGGTAAGATTGTTTCAAATACGAATTGATGTATTGTGTGCTTTAAAAAAACTGATGTTACGAATAAGTATAGGTAATCATGCGATGTTGCTCGTACAATTAGGAATTAATAGTACTCGTGATGTTTGGAAATTTTGCGAAAATTGGACGATCCGCCGGAGCGAGTTGGGAAATTGATATATTTGATTATGCATAATAACCTAACATATATATTTCGGAAATTGATAATTTTGTAATAAAAATGGTATGTTCGTGGAATATTTTCGATTTTAAAAATATTTATTTATTTATTGATCTAAAAATCTTTTAAAACGTGAAGCCTTTAGGGTTTTAACACGCCTGCTTTTCAAGAGGCCGTTTGACACTAACTATATACAAAACAAAATTATAATATAGCATTTGTAAATTCTGAACGCTGATTGGCTAAGAGCCGTGTTGATATAACTCAATGTCAACACGGAAACGTCGGAAAATTTCTTTCTTTCTGTTTCTTTGTGCTAAATTATAAAATATAATCGTTTTCCCAATTTCCACTCGTGTTGATATAATTGTTTATAAAATAGCCTTTTAAAAACACGGGCGCTTATTGGTCAAAAGCTCAAAAAACCCGTGTTTCTATAACTCGATAGAAATACGGGGAATTTTCACGCGGGTAGCGTGGATTGCGCGGGAGTTTAAAAGACAAAATACAAACAATGTTTAATATTGAAAAACAAAACGTCCGAAAACGCCGAAGAAACGTCACAAAAAAGGCAATGCTTTGCTAATTTAGGAAGGGAACACCTAAAGCACAAAGCACAAAGCATAATACAGCATACGTTGTATCTGTTTGACGGTCTTCCAAGGTAAGATATTTTAATTTTACTTTGTCTTTTTAAAAAAATATTTCCTTGCGACGTGTTTAATTAACAATTATTCGCCGAAGGCGAGGTGATTATCGGTGAATAAAAACCGAGACGAAGTCGAGGTTTTTATTCACGATAATCACCGAGCCTGAGGTGAATAATTGTTTTAGTATAATTTCATGGGTGATTATTTGGAAAAAAAATTTAAAAATGCACATTTCTTCGTCTTTTAATTGACAAAACGGCTTCGGCCGCCATTTTGAAAATCGCTTAGGTGATTATCGCGTAATAATCACCTCAACGGTAACCAATCAGCGTGGAGAATTTTCAATAATCACCTATGTAATTATACTAATCATGTTTATTATCGTTTTTAATCATGTTTATTATCGTTTTTAATCATGTTTAAATGTTCACTAACTATATAAAACAGTGCTTTCTTTGCATGCAAGCATGTACGTTGTTGAGTGAATTATACTTTTATTAAAGTAAGCCTGTCAAGTGCTGTCTGTTGTTTTGACAGCGATATACTTGTTTTAATACTTCGCTATGCTTTTATAATTATTCTTTACACGAACGTATATTAAGGTGGAATTAAAATTTGAATGAAAGCAATTAAAATCAATAAATTTATCTTTTCTATATATTATTGTTTTTAAAAGGCTATTTAATAAAGGAAATAGAGAACATTTTTCCGTGTTCCTATAGAGTTTATAGAAACACTTGTGAAAGTTTGGGAGAAACTCGAAATTGCGTGGAAACACTCGCACTTCGTGCTCGTGTTCCCACGCAATTTCTCGTTTCTCCCAAACTTCCACGCGTGTTTCTATAACTCTATCTACTTCGTGCTCGTGTTCCCACGCAATTTCTCGTTTCTCCCAAACTTCCACGCGTGTTTCTAAAAATGTTTTCTATTGCTTAAATATCAACACGGAAAATGTTTTATACTTGTTAAATACAATATTAACTAAGTTGATACAAAATATTTACCAATACCACAGACGATACAACTTATCAAGTCATCGACGGTCTATAAAGTTGTTAAATTTGCCTACACTAATCCCCTTTTCTTTTGCACATTTTGGCAATTTGTTCCAAATGGAAGAAGTTATAGGTGATACTTTTCTTCATGCATGAAATTTGTTTTTGGCTTATTCATCACAAAATCGTTGTTGCTGCTGCGTAGGTTGCAGCTGATATTCGTTTTAATATCGTATTGGTTTATCGTATTGGTTTATCGACTAAAAGGAAAAACCCTCTCGCCATCAATTTCTTGTATAGCTTAGGTGAATTCAGCGTCTGTTTCGTCTAACTATATTTCCGTTAGAGCAACAGACACATCAAAGTTGTATAAATCCTCTGCGGTTGCATCGTCTAGTTGCGATAAATGTCTTCGTCCTCTTATGCCTCGATCATAAACTGTTCACGACGCTCGCTTTCTTCGATATTTTCATCTCCAACGTTCAAAATAGGTTCGTATGTTTGTTCGCTTTCTGTTTCAATTTCCACCTTGATCTCAGAAGCCCTATAGCGTTTTGAAATATGATCTTTTGTTGGCATATTATGTTCTCGCCCATATGTTTTCCTAATCACTCATCACAAAGCAACCCCTTTCCTCGTCACGTGACACAAATAAAAGTCTCGACATAATTTGCCGCTCCCTTTGAAGTTTGCCGGCTAGCCTAACCATCTAGTTCTATTAACCGTGGTTATAGTTATTACGTTTTTATACAGCCAGCCCCAGAAATTGCTCGTAACAAACATTCGACAGAAGGGCGGGGTGTCACACTCCCCTCCCCCACCCCACCCCCTACACACACACGGTAGCTACGGCGCAGGATTAAGTGTAGTAATGTGTGATATACTGCTTGAAAAATGCAGGGAATTACCTCCTTTAGTAACATCTCTTCAGCGACATGTCTTATGATATCACCAACAAACCAACTGAAAATAGAAAATATGCATTCAAGCGTAATGCTTGTACAATAAATTCTGAGAACGCGCATATGTACTGTAGTATAAAAGGAAAAAATACTGAAGCTAGAAACTTACAAATTCGTTCCTAAGACACCTTTTTGGCCCACATAAGTTACTGGAATATCCCCTGTTCTCCTATAAAAGTACGAAGTATAATATTTTAAAATTCATATTAAAGTCAGGTTTGCGCTTTTAGGTAATTGTTCTATCATATCAGGTTTAACAAAGAGAAGAAAGTAATCGACATAAGGCTCTTGCCACCCTGTGAAACCAATCTGAAGCTTCACATCATCCGTACAAACTATGTTGCATCAATTTTCAGGAAAGCTAACCACTTGATCCTCGATCTGGATGAGCCCACAAATCACGGCTGGGGTGAAAGAGGGGGAGTTATTTGGAGTAGTGTTTGTTTCCCTGACGATATTAGCAAATTGTTAATTGGCCAGGGGCCGGTTATATAAAAAAGTAATTAAAGTTAACTATGATTAAGTGCAAACATCATCCAATAAGAAGCGTCTATTTGAAAGTTAATCACTATTTAACTACAAAATAGTGATTAAAAAAGTGATTAAGAGTTTTATACAACCGGCTCCAGGAAGCAGAAGATGAAGACTCACTTGATTTCGTGCAAAACAGTGATCTCGTATATATATATATTTTATTTGAAAAAAAAAAGACTTGAACGTACATTTCAATGCCCACTATGATTTGCATAATTAAATTATAAATAAACATTTAATATGGCAAGCATAAAATTGCTCTCAGCCTCTCATGAAGTATTCCAGCTAAATTACCTGCTATAAATATTTTCAAGATCTATTCATCACTTCAGCAGACGCATCATTGCATCAAAACAAAGTAAAACAACAAATCCCAAACATTTTCCAATCACAATATCAACAGAAATTCACTGGCAACAACTATACCAACAACTATACAGACAGGTGTGCTGAAAATATAGGTCTAACTATAAAGAGCTTCAGGCCAAGCACAACCTCTTGAAATAAAGCAGTTTAAACATGAAGGTTCATGAATGTTTATGAAATGAAGGTTTACCCATTCAACTTCATTCATGTGATTTGTGCAATCCAATAAAATATATACCTTTATGTTTTGTTTTCATTAACCCATTAAGCTGCAGAGCTTCCCCATTGACAAGTAAAACCGTCAGGCGTGAGACAAATAAAAAAAGTAGGGCGCACTGGGGCGCATTGCGGCTCAACGAGATAATTTAAGGCTCACACGACAAACCTGCAAAATATCTACTTGTTGACAAACTTTGGGGAACAATCCAGCAACTCCAACAGCATTACATGCATCTGCATTACATGCATTGCTACCAAAATAGACACAAATGGACAATGAACAAAATATTTATTTCACAATTTCTGAACCATAGAAAATATGAAATAAGCAACTTCAGCTACAAAATTGAAATATATTGTAAAATGCATCCTTATATGAAAATATGCCAACCTAGGCTACATGGTGGATCATTTCAATCGATGTCGCAAGATCACCCCGGGGCGTGGACAGGGCCGCCGAGAGAATATGTGGGGCCTGGGGCAAATCTTCCCTGGGGGCCCCATGACATTATAGGGACCTTAAGCAAACAGGACGGGAACGCGACGACGACGGCTATTCTCACAATGGTATTCCTGATCTCGTACAAAAGAAATGAATAATTAAAAGCCCCACGGGAGTTAGAGACGTTGTGTTAGGGCTTTTTACAACGGCAAACCAGAGATTTTCACGTCTTGTGTACAACGCAAACATGTCAAGACGCGACAAGTGAAACTACAAATTTGCTCAGCAGATCGCGTTTTTAACCATAAAGCCTTTGTTATAACCTCATCAAACTGAACTCAATTCATATATACATGCAGTGAATAATACACAACAATTACTCTTCTTCGCAATAATTTATTTGTTTTGGCTGTCGTCGTCGCGTTGCCGTCGTACATGCTTAAGGT